TCGGCTGGTCTAAACACAAGAATGTGCTTGGGGTGGTGGGTTGTAAGTAGATGCATTCCTTAAATTGGAATGCATGAACCCATCAGATGGGATATTACTCATGATTGGGTTATTACAGAAGTATCGTTTTAGAGATAACTGTCTTGCAAATTTGTGAACATCAATGTATGTGCCAAATTTATTCAGTTTCTTTGCAGGTGCATATTTAAGTCCTTTATCAAGGAGACGTAGTTCCTCATTGGTCAGATGTGTATCACTCAGATTAAAGATGCCCTTACCAACTACGTTTTCCTCTTTTTTGGGGTTTCTATTCGTCCTCCTTCCCCCTCTCTTTCCCCTCCTGAATTTCTCCTTTTCCTTGACAGACCCTCCTCTAAAAAAGGCTGTCTGGGGTGGTAAGGTTGATGTGAACCTTTCGGGATGGGGTTTTGAGGTTTATGTTGATGATTCTGGTAATTATTCTGAGGGTTCGTTGGTTTCCTCTTTTGAGGGGGGTTATTAGAAGGGGGATATTGAACCCTATTATCCCTAAAATTCCGTGGGGATGGGTGATAATAGGGATGGTAATAATTAGGGTTGTACTGTTGAGTCGGTGGCCAATTATTTTGTCTTGGAGGGGTGTAGTAGTCAGTGGGAAACCTGTCTCCTCCATAATTGGTATAAGCATTGGGGTGTCTATAAAGCTCTCTAGAGCCAATATTATTGTCCTGGAGAGGTTGAGATCTACTGGACGAGGGAATAGGATGTTGTTTATTATGATTGGAATTCTTGTGTTTGGATATATTAGATCTAGAATTGTTAGTATTGTTAGCAGTAGGAGTTTTGGGGGGAACGGGGTCCTCCTGTTTTTGCCAGTTAAAGACCGATTGATCTAAATAATCCTTAAAATCCCTATGATACTTTTTCTTCTTCTTTATTTTCTGTTCTTTTTTCTATCCCCTCCAGGTGTTTTTTGAGTTTATCTGATTCTATATTGTAGTTACCCTTATCCTTATGTGGAGTTAATTTGTCTCTAATGAGATTGATCTCTTTATCCAAGTGTGCTAATTTCTTCTTTTTCCTAATGATAAGGGAATTTTAACAAATCTATTCCAGCATTGTTAAAAAACTGGAACCATTCCAAATGACTGTTAGTGTCCTCTGAATCTGGGCGCACATCCCAGCGTAATGACCTAGGGACCATATGTTCCTTTGTATATTTATTCAAAAAGGAGATGTCCCATAATGTTTTAATTTCACTTGTGGCAAGATTTTTAAGTTGTAGGAACAGACCTTTTAGGTCGTCGGTCTCTTTATCACCTGTATCAACTGTAAAAAAATCTTCCGATATGACAGTTCTAGAAAGCCTATAGTCAAAGATATCCCCCATTCTAAATTAATAAGAAAGATGGAATATAATCAAGTATGTATGATACTAAAAACCTGAAAGCAGCTCAAAACTTGTAGTGATAAAAGCAGACATAAAATATAAAATGAAGTGAGCGCTCATTAAATGAAATATCAATGAAAAAGTAAGCAGCTAATGGCACAAGAGGGGATCACAACCTCCTCTGACTGTATAAATAGATGAATAAAGTGCAGCGCTAAAGCATATCAAAAAAGTTCGTTCTTAGAAGTTCGTTGTCAAAAGTTCATAAGATATCTCGATCAATACTAAGGTGTACACAGCTAGAGGGATCCAGTAGAAATGACAGAAATGCGCACTCACCGACCGCGCATAGGAAATGCGCATTTGTGTGTTAAAAACACAAGTGTCGAACTCCCTCAGGACAAGGTATCATCCGGCGGTGATCTGCTAGGCTCACAGGACCTCCTTAAGATCAGGATTAGAGATGGCCAGGTGAGGGCTCCCTCCTCCAGATATAGCTGTGTCTGCCAGTCTGATAACCCCTCAATAAGGGGGTAAAAAACGGGAGAATGCCCATAGTGTAGTATATCAAAAGTTTATTGAATAACATGTATAGCAGGACAGGTCAGTATTCAAACTGGCAAACAGCCAGAAAGTGTATAGTAAAAATACTGGTACTGACCTAGAGTAAAATGGCCGCCAGACCTCCTCGTGGTCTGGGGGGCGATGAGGCGTCACAAGCTGTCAGTTCCTCCTGAGGCCTTTCGTGCTAGAGCACATCTTCAGAGGGGAGGCTGACAGCTTTGTGACGGACGCCAGATTCTGAAATAACAAGCCGCGGGAGTCGCGCATGCGCACAAACTCACCGCCATTTTCGAGTGGACCGGGCAACTGCGCATGCGCGCGCGCGCCTAGACGCCATTTTGCCGTGGATATAAGAACTGTCAGCAGAGATGCAATGCATACAGCTGTCAGGGCACACTGAAAGGTGCTTTTGAGCCGAGAGTAATGGCTCATGATCCCAGGGGGTAAGCAAAAATGATCAGTCCGATATTACAGCGGAAAGATATAGCGCCAGAACCCCTTGGCAAGTAATTATATCACCTAGAATGGTGATTCATAGGGAAGATAATGCAAACTTATCCACGGCATATGGAGGTGCACCGGATACATCAATCCATATTTAAACATATATACATAATGTGGAATATAGAATAAAATGTGGTCAAAGATTAATAATGGTGTGTTCTAAAAAATAGAGGAAAATCCTTATATATAATTGCATCAATGACCGATCTGGAGTTGGAAGTCACATATATGTGTGAAACCACTGCCATAATCTGAGAGACCAGATAGTCCAAAAAATCTTTATATTTCAAAACACCATATTTGCCAAAAATATTGGTGGTTAAAATTATGGCTGCACCCAGCAATCAAAGTGCGCAGCACAAATAATTGCCATGATCGATAGCTCTTAATCGTAGATGGGTGATCAAAGATGCCATAGCCGGTCCTGATATTCAATCATTCATTAACAGAATTAATACCGATTTATCCATGGCATATAAAGGTGCTGAAAGTGCAACAATCCGTACCGAGAGTATAAATACTTGAGTAATAAAAAACTCATAAATGGATATAGGTATATATGTTTGATGTGTAAAGTCATAAATGATATGACCGAGTACACTAAGATAATGTTTCATAAAATATAGACTAGGATAGCATAAAATACATAAAATGAATAGAATAGCATAAAATACATATAATAACATAGGAGCGTCAAAGGCTTAATATAACATGCATATATGTCAATCTGGAATAGGTAATCAATAAAAGGACTTTACAATAAAAACATGGGAACCTAACTGTTAGCTATAGGTTTATGCCTTGTACCTCATATCCTGGACCCTGTCCAACACCACTCCTGATCTAACCAGGTTCACACCTTGTACCCTGTATCCTGGACCCTGTCCACTACCACTCCTGACCTGAGCAGGTTTGCACCTTGTACCTTGTATCCTGGACCCTGTCCACCACCACTCCTGACCTGAGCAGGTTTGCACCTTGTACCTTGTATCCTGGACCCTGTCCACCACCACTCCTGACCTGAGCAGGTTTGCACCTTGTACCTTGTATCCTGGACCCTGTCCACCACCACTCCTGACCTAACAAGGTTTACACCTTGATATCAGTGCCAAGCAAAGCAACCCCCCGTGGTCAGTGTGCAGAGGGGAAACCACATACGAAGGACACTGAAGATGGTGATGATCACTGTAGTAATGCCAACAACTACAGTCATTTTCCAGTGGTCCCATGAGCATGGAATCTACATACTTACATCATGCCATGCTGGACCAAGCTGGTGGTAATTGCAGAGCGTCCAACAACACATGCTAGGGGACCTCTGCTATGTCCTTCACCCTTGTTGCAGAGACTATGGTGGTTGGTCAGCTCTTTTTAAGCTGTGGATCTGCTGGTCTCTACTACATGTGAGGGATGTGTGGTGTTAAGTCAGTGCCGGGCCCTAGTTAGAGCACCTGCATGAGCAGCTCGGGGCCTTTTTGTCAGCTGTGACGGGGAGATTCGTGTCAGTGATGCAGCTGAAAATGAATTTTAATGGAAGAAGCGTGCCGGGGGCATAACACTGAGCTCGTTATTGAAAAGTCCTTTCTTCTATACATTTGTAGAACTTCTTCCGCCAGCCGAGTCTGTAGAGAAGTCATGACTTCCTGATACAGCTTTTCAGCATGAATTCTTTCTAGAAACGGATTAATCATCATTAATAATCATTACTAACAGATTAATCATCCCATTACTCTTTGCATTTTCCTGTTTAGTTAAAAAAGGAAGTTTCAACCCCTCAATATTGTTTTGTGAAATATATAATTTTTATATCTGTGAGGGAAATAGCTGATGCGATATTAAAGGCAGTGTGTACTTAAAGGGTAACTCCACTTTCATGGAAAAAAAAAAATAGAAAATAAAAACAAAAATAATAATATATAATTGGGACACAAGTCATATGGTAATTGAATAATATTAAAAAATGACCTTTTCTTTTAACTGCTTTACCGCCGCCCTATAGCATAAATGCTGCTACAGGGTGGCCGCGGTGCGCAAAATCTTGTATATATATAAGATTTTGCATTTCCAGGTAGGGGGGAGCGCGAGCCGTGCACACGCCCTGCCCTCGCCTCCATTCACAGTAGCGGCTGTCAGTTCTCCTCCCTGTCAGCTCGGGCACACTGCACAGCACAGCCATCCAGAGCAGTGTGATTACAGTAAAACACTCCCAGCACACAGGTAGCCCTTTGATCGTCCCTCATGTTAAAACCTTCCTGCCCAGTGCCATTAGTACAGTGTCGGGGCTTTTTTTTTAGCACTGATCACTGTATTGGTGTCACTCAGGATGTCAGTGACACCAAGTCAGCTCCCCTCCAGTGTCAGAATGCCCGCCGCAGTCCTGCTAGAAGCCGCTATTCACCGCTATTACTAGTAAAAATGCAAAAACAAAATCCCAGTATCTATACCTCCATTTGTAAATGCTATAACTTTCACATAAACAATTAAATTACACGTATTATTGTAGACTTCACCTCCGCAACATCTCCAAGATACGCCCGTTCCTAACCACGGAAACCACTAAGCAACTCATTCCCTTCCTTATTATCTCTTGCCTCGACTATTGTAACTCCCTCCTCATTGGCCGACCTCATCACAGGCTATCCCCTCTTCAGTCTATCATGAATGCTGCTGCCAGACTCATCCACCTTACTAACCGTTCGGTATCTGCCAATCCCTCCACTGGCCTCCATTCAGTGTCCTCCACCCCTCTCTGCCAATCCCTCCACTGACCTCCACTCAGTGTCCTCCATCCCTCTCTGCCAATCCCTCCACTGACCTCCACTAAGTGTCCTCCACCCCTCACTGACAATCCCTCCACTGACCTCCACTCAGTGTCCTCCACCCCTCTCTGCCAATCCCTCCACTGGCCTTCATTCAGTGTCCTCCACCCCCTCTCTGCCAATCCCTCCACTGGCTTCCACCCCTCTCTGCCAATCCCTCCACTGGCCTCCCCTCAGTGTTCTCCACCCCTCTCTGCCAATCCCTCCACTGGCCTCCACTCAGTGGCCTCCACCCCTCTCTGTCAATCCCTCCACTGGCCTCCATTCAGTGTCCTCCATCCCTCTCTACCAATCCCTCCACTGGCCTCCACTCAGTGTCCTCCACCCCTCTAAGCCAATCCTTCCACTGGCCTCCACTCAGTGTCCTCCAACCCCTCTCTGCCAATCCCTCCACTGGCCTCCACTTAGTGTCCTCCACCCCTCTCTGCCAATCCCTCCACTGGCCTCCATTCAGGGTCCTCCACCCCTCTCTGCCAATCCCTCCACTGGCCTCCACTCAGTGTCCTCCACCCCTCTCTGCCAATCCCTCCACTTGCCTCCATTCAGTGTCCTCCATCCCTCTCTGCCAATCCCTCCACTGACCTCCACTCAGTGTCCTCCACCCCTCTCTGCCAATCCCTCCACTGGCCTCCATCCCTCTCTGCCAATCCCTCCACTGGCCTCCACCCCTCTCTGCCAATCCCTCCACTGGCCTCCACTCAGTGTCCTCCACCCCTCTCTTCCAATCCCTCCACTGGCCTCCACCCCTCTCTGCCAATCCCTCCACTTGCCTCCATTCAGTGTCCTCCATCCCTCTCTGCCAATCCCTCCACTGACCTCCACTCAGTGTCCTCCACCCCTCTCTGCCAATCCCTCCACTGGCCTCCATCCCTCTCTGCCAATCCCTCCACTGGCCTCCATCCCTCTCTGCCAATCCCTCCACTGGCCTCCATCCCTCTCTGCCAATCCCTCCACTGGCTCCCAGTTGCCCAACGGATAAAATTCAAAACAATAACGTATAAAGCCATTTAACCTTTGCCCAAAATTGCATCACTGATCTTGTCTCCAAATACTCTCCGCTCCTCGCAAGACTTCCTGCTCTCTAGCTCCCTTGTCTACTCCTCCCATGCTCTTCTTCAGAGCTTCCCCCATCCTCTGGAACTCTCTACCCCAACTTATCAGACTATCGCCTACTCTGCTCACTTTTAGGTGATCTCTGAAAACCGATCTCTTCAGGGAAGCCTATCCTGCCCTCAGCTAATACTGGAATCTTCTACTCCTCCTACCAGTCCATCCCCCACAGTTACTACCTTTTGTACCACTAGCCCCTCCCTCTTAGATTGTAAGCTCCCAGGATCAGGACCCTCTAATCCCTCTTGTATTGAACTGTATTGTTGCTGTATTGTCTCCCGTTATATTGTAAAGCGCTGAGCAAACTGTTGGCTCCATAAATCCTGTATAATAATAATATTGGTACGTTTATAGCACCATCAATATACGCAGCGCTTTACATATATATTGTACATTCACATCAGTCCCCGCCCCCGAGGAGCGCACAATCTAAGGTCCCTAACTCACGTTCATACATACACATACTAGGGACAATTTAGACCGGAGCCAATTATCCTCCCAGCATGTCTTTGGAGTGTGGAAGGAAACAGGAGTACCCGGAGGAAACCCACGCAGGCACAGGGAGAACATGCAAACTTCAGGCAGGTGGTGCCGTGGTTGGGATTTGAACCAACGACCCGAGTACTGCCAGGCAGAAGTGCTAACCATTCAGCCGCTGTGCTGCCTGTATTGGGATTTCTTTTTTTGCAAAGGCACAGAGCAGAATACATTTCAGGCAAAATTTATTACAAAATTTGAAAGTAAAAAATATTAGGTTTTTTTCTCAAAATTGGCGCTTTTTTTTAGAGCGCAAAAGATTAAAAACGCACAGGTGATCAAATACCACCGAAAGAGCTCAATTTGTGGGAAAAAAGGCTGTAAATTTAATTTGGGTGCAGCGTTGCATGACCGCGCAATTGTCGGTTAAAGTAACGCAGCGCTGTAATGCAAAAAAATGGCCTAGTCAATAAGGGGGAGGAAATCCTCTGGAGGGCGAGGGGTTAAATTCCTTTAATTTTCTGTAAAATACAATATGGTTACCTGGAGGTGTCCTGTACACACATGATACAGAACTTCCCCCAGAAACGTAATTTCCTGCTTGTGTGACTTGCTTACTGATTGTCTGCACTAAGATAGTACGTCAGATTTTGGGCATCCCCTGCAATAAAAACATCCTCTTTGGTGAGATACCTCCAAAGGTTAACACGTCTCAAGGGAAGCAGACCCCGTCACTTTCCTGATTAGAGCCCTGCAGGTGCAGCAACTGATCGATAATTATAAAGTCGCTCCCATTCACAGTCACTCTGCATATGGACACAGAGAAACAAACAGCTATTTCTTCAGAATAACAAAAGGTAGGAATCTACAACAAAGTTCGTTGTAAACTCTGCAATGTACAGCGATCACCCAGAGGGGAGTGTTTTTCTCTCAACAAAAGTAGAGTTACTCTTTAACCACTTCCCGTCCGGCCGCTGTATATAAATGGCCAGACGGTGGCAGTGCAGGGGCAGGTTGCCGTTCACAAACGGCGCCTGCCATTTTGGACTATGAGTGCTCCCTGGGAGCGCACGGCACAGCGATCCGGTGCGGACACAGCGGAAAACCGATCGCTGTACGGGACCTCTGTGTGAGGTCCCGATCATGTGATTACTGATTAGCCAATTTACGATTTACTAAAGCCGGAGAGGGTCTAAAATCAGGTCCACTTCTGCAGAGAGACCAATCAGCTTCCAGGTTTTATTGCCAAAGCTTAACCACCTCCCGTCCGGCCATTGTATATTATTATTATTATTATTATACAGTATTTATAAAGTGCCAATAGTTGGCTCAGCGCTGTACATTACAAAGGGGGACAGAACATGTGACAGAACAATACCAATACAATGCGATACATGAGGGGATTGAGGGCCCTGATCCTTGGAGCTTACAATCTAGGAGGGAGGGGATGGTGGCACAGGAGGAGATAGCTGTGGGGGATGGAGTGGTAGGAAGAGTGGAGGAGGTCGGCAAGTTAGCAGGAGGTGGGGTAGGCTTCCCTGAAGAGATGGGTTTTCAGGGTGCGCCTAAAGGAGAGGAGAGTAGGTGATAATCTGATGGGTTGGGGCAGGGAGTTCCAGAGGATGGGTGACACCCTGGAGAAGTCCTGGAGGCGGGCATGGGAGGAGGAGACCAGGGAACTAGAGAGAAGGAGGTCTTGTGAGGAGCGGAGTGTGCGTGTTGGGCGGTACTTGGATATTAGGTCGGTGATGTAGTTCAGGGCAGTATGGTGGACGGCTTTGTACGTCAGTGTTAGGATTTTGAATTTGATCCGTTGCGCAATCGGAAGCCAGTGGAGGGATTGGCAGAGGGGGGTGGAGGACACTGAGTGGAGGCCAGTGGAGGGATTGGCAGAGGGGGGTGGAGGACACTGAGTGGAGGCCAGTGGAGGGATTGGCAGAGGGGGGTGGCGGAGATGGAGCGGTTGGAAAGGTGAATGAGTCTGGCAGCCGTACTCAGGATGGACTGAAGCGGGGATAGCCTGTGGCGAGGCAGGCCAGTGAGGAGGGAGTTGCAGTAGTCGAGTCGTGATATGATGAGGGAGTGGATGAGCTGTTTAGTGGTTTCTGGGGTTAGGAACGTGCGGATTTTGGCGATGTTGCGGAGGTGGAGTCTGTATGTTGCGGAGGCGGAGTCTGCATGTTGCGGAGGTGGAGTCTGCACGAGTTTGTTAAAGATTGGACTTGGGGCTGGAAGGATAGGTTGGAGTCCAGAATGACACCCAGTACTCTGGCCTGCAGGGCGGGTTTGATGGTGGCTTTGTTGGATGTGAAGGAGAAGTCAATGGGGGGGTGGGGTCCGGGCTGGGGGGAGACAAGAAACTCGGTTTTGGAGAGGTTCAATTTAAGGAAGTGGAGCGACATCCAGTCTGATATGTCGCTCAGTAGGTGTGTGATTCGGGCGGAGACTGAGGGGGTGAGGTGGGGGGAGAGACCGAGGGGGTGAGGTGGGGGGTGGAGAGATAGATTTGTGTGTCGTCGGCATAGAGGTGGTAGTTGAAGCCGTGAGAGTGTATGAGTTGGCCAAGGGAGGAGGTATAGATGGAGAAGAGAAGGGGCCCGAGGACAGAGCCTTGAGGGACCCCAACAGAGAGGGGGAGTGAGGGGGAGGTGGTAGCATTATAGGTAACGCTGAAAGAGCGTTGTGACAGGTTGGATGAGAGCCAGGAGAGAGCGGAGTCTCTGAGGCCGAGGGAGTGTAGTTTTTTGAGGAGGATGGGGGGGTGGTGGACTGTGTGGAAGGCTGCAGAGAGGTCAAGGAGTAGGAGCACTGAATAGTGGCCATTAGCTTTGGCGGGTATATAAATGGCCTCCCTGCCCCCTGCTTGTGCGCGATCCCTTGGAGTGCGCAGCACCGTGATCCAGTGCCCGCTGTGTCCTCCTGGCACAGTGGAATACCGATCGTCAGACGGGACCTCTGTGCGAGGTCCCGATTGTTGGTTATGTGTTAGAGAAGACACTGGTAGTGATAGCAGAATTCAGACTTTACTTGTGTGGCTTAAGTTACAAACATACAGAGCACATTTCTCAGCAGACATATTACTTCCTGAAGATGATGATAGAGGAACAAACAAGTTTTCACATATGTACAACTAGTAACCTTTAGTGTATAGTGCCATCTACTGGTCAAGTGATATTAACACACAATACTATATATAGTACATTATAGTACATGCTGTTGCATTCCCAACACCGATCATGTGATCACTGATTGGCCAATCAGTGATCACATGCAGAGTAGTAAACAAGATGTTACTTCTGACATCATTGCTTACTACATGTGAAATCTGTGAATGATCACAGAGATCACATGGTACAGGGCCATTCACAGCAGCCTTGTACCATGTGACAAGCTGTGACCAATCACAGCTCTCACAGTATTTCTCAATGGCTGCAGGAATGCAGCCAGAGAGAAGGAGAAATGATTGTACAGCCTTTATGGGTGTAAAAGCAATCAGTGTACAAGAAAAAAAAAAAATCTTCATCACCCCTCACAAGTAGTGACACTGTACTGCTAGGGTGACAGTATGTTAACCATTTCCATACCGGGCAATTTTACCCCTTCCCTCCCAGGCCATTTTTTCAGGTTTCAGCGCTCTCACATTTTGAATGACAATTGCGCGGTCATACAACATTGTACCCAAACTAAAATTTTATCATTTTCTTCACACAACTAGAGCTTTCTTTTGGTGGTATTTAATCACCACTGGGGTTTTTATTTTTTGCTAAATTAACAAAAAAAAGACCAAAAATGTTGAAAAAAAACCACGTTTTTCTTTGTTTCTGTTATAAAAGTTTACAAATAAATAATTGTTCTTCATAAATTTAGGCCGAGATGTATTCTGCTACATGTCTTTGGTGAAAATAACCCAAATTAGGATGTATTATTTAGTTTGTAGGAAAGTTATAGAGTTCACAAACTATGGTATAGATCTGAATATTGATCAATCCTGAAGTACTGACAGCCAATCTAATTTCTTGAGGTCCAAGAATGTCAGAATAGTACAGATATCCCCAAATGTCAGGACAGTACAGATATCCCCCCAAAATGTCAGGACAGGACAGATATCCCCCAAATGTCAGAACGGTACAGATATCCCCCAAATGTCAGAACGGTACAGATATCCCCCAAATGTCAGAACAGTACAGATATTCCCCAAATGTCAGAACAGTACAGATATTCCCCAAATGTCAGAACAGTACAGATATTCCCCAAATGTCAGAAC